ATGGATGTTTAATAAGAACGGCGGGAGAGTGTTGAGTACTGGCACGGTGCATGAGTACCGGAGTACCGCCAGCATGCCGGTACTGAGCAAGAAGTGCCGGTACTCCATGGGTCAGAACCAGAAGTGCCGGTACTGCGTACCGGTGAGTACCGGCCCAATTCCAGCACTGGTATTACATATAAAGTTATGAAAGAGATAAGGAGGAGAAAAGGCATGTGGAAGTAAGCAATGAATGTAAAATGTCGAAATCCTCTGTTTAACGCGATATCGGACACAGACGAACGAGGGGGGAAGTCCCTTACGTCACTACAGCTCACAGAGAGGAGGAGCGAGCAAGCGGGAAGGACGAATGCTTGTAAGCTCTCTTCTGCACGGCCAGCACCTGGGAGAGGAAGCTGCAGACTTTCTCTCCTGTCGAACAATATCCTGTTTGTGACTTTACCGCGCCTTTTTTATTAATTAAAGTACCAATTTTGAACCTCCAGAGACTCCATTTAGTCTCCTTTTTAAGCTTCTCTTTCCTGGACGCTGAGAATAAGAACACAGTTAACAGCCCCCACCGCGGAGAATAAACAGAAGGGCAACAATTACAACTCTGCTGCTTTTGTGGAGGAAGTTACAGCGCCACGTACAGGCTCGGCATATGTACTGCAGCTTCTCCAGCGGTTGGAGCTAAACGGAGCTGTCTCGTGTGGACAGAAACTTTCCGGTGTCTATTGCGTGTGGACGGAAGCCTTTTTTGCAATTGCGATTGCGTATGCGTTTTACCGTTATCGTCCTCGTGTGGCCGGGGCCTAAAATGCAGTAACTAGAGAATATTGAGGATCTACTCCCTATCATCACATTGTTCATAAACCCCCTTTGTTCACTTACTTGTCTGGCTCAGGGTTGTCCACCTTAGCCTGCTCCCAAATGATGGGGTCCACTCCTAGTTAGAGGAGACAACATCCTCATAAGTAAATAACTTCTAATCACCAACAAACTAAATAAAATCATCAAGATGATGACACAACTATGCATTTACCTGCAGGTGCATTCTGCAGCAGCTGTTTGAGCTGAGCTGGAGACAGCTCTGTGCACGTCCCCGACATGGCCACTCTGATCGATGCGAGCTGGGCCTTGATGTTGCCCTGCTCCAGATAACTGAAGAGTGTGGTGGCAGGGATCCGCTTGGGGGTGCCATTAGGAGAACGCTCCACCACGTAAATGATCACCTCAGTCCTAGGGCAAAGGACACACAAACATTTAAATTACATTTTTTAGATTTATAGAATTTATTACACCTAAAATTCTTGCTTTGGTTTAGGACCAAAACACATTTCTGATCCTTTGCTACATTATGAACCATCCAGAACGGTCTGCTTTCTGTTCGCAGAGTCAAAACTAAACATGTACAATCAGCGTTTTTTTTTACACTCCATCTATTGGGAATAAAATACCAGAAAACTTCACGTCTGCTGCAACTCTCAATTCTTTAAATCAAGGCAGAAGACGTGTTTGTTTGCTAAAGTGTTGCTTATTTGTAAGCACTTTAAATCGCTTTGTCGTTGAAATGTTGAACATAAATACAATTACATTTCCTTGTCTTCCAAGTGTGTAATAGTACTGAATGACATATTATAGTTACTTACTGGTCATTGGGCAGGGCTTTGACACCATCCACATTGACAGTGAGAGACTGGTTGCTTCCCAGGACTTTGTGAAGAGTCTCCACCAGCTGCTGCTGCTGCGCTCGCACATCAGCTTCCTTTTTATTGAGAAGTAAGGCCACTAAACCGTCCTCATCCTTACTCACTGGGACACAGCTATAGCCCACCGCCTAGGAAACAAATCACAGAAATACCATTTGATGAAGTTCAAAAGAACCTAAAGTACACTTTTATGAACTATCGGTCATTACCTTGAACCTGCAGAATGGGTTCTCCTGCGTGAAGTCGACAGGTTGGTTGTTGTTGCTGTAGTAGCCCTTCCCAGTTCCCCAGTAAGCCTGCAACTGGTTCCATTTGGCTAAGATGGTGTCACGTTCGTCTCCTAACAAGGTGGGGGCTGACAGAGCAGTGACCTGCTGATACAGCTGGGTGGTCTGAGCCTGAGCCTGCTGCTGGGCCTGCTGCTGGGCCGGCTGACCGAACAAGCCTCCTGGTAGGGGGCAGGTGAGGTCAAATATCACGTCAGATTGTGTAGTCCTTTACATTTCCGGAAACATCTTTATGGTCTTATATTAACAGGGCAATACTACAAAAGTCCCCAAAAATGTCACAACTTAATAAACAGTATTTTCTGTGTGCTTCAACTGCACATTTGTATTGATGACGATAATAATGCTGATTTCTGTAAACATGTGATTGTTGTCGCCCTCTGCAGGGATAAGAGGTAAACCGTTTGTAGAGTTGTAATGGAAGTCTGTGTGTGTGACCCTGCTGAGAAAATAATTATAGGTTGGATTTTGAAATGGTTTGAATTCCCTGTTTCTTTTGCCGCTCAAACGTACTTCAATGTGATTATCGTCAGTGACGAGCCGACTATTAAATGTGCTTTTCATTTCATTTTCATGATAATACTGCCTAAGAAACTGATAATTAACTAACCGAGAAGCAATTTCAGATATAAGCTTGAATTTTCTGTATTGACAACGGCTGTCCTTGAGATCCAGGTCTTACCTGTCTGCTGCTGAGTGGGCTGGATATTAAAACCTCCAAACCCTCCCAGGGTTGTTGTTCCTAATCCAGTTCCAAATCCTGTTGCCCCAGCAGGAGCCGCGGTACCAAGCCCAGAGGAGAACCCAAAACCTTTGTTCTGTGTGTTACCAAACAGGCCTCCTAAAACAGAACAAAGTATCAACAGTGAGAACAAATATCCTATGTTTTTTGTTACTGGAAATTTGTTTTTTTAAACGCTGTATGCACGCAACTTGTATTTCCTTGACATAAACATACACAAAGAAAAGCAATAAGAGTTACACTGCTGACCTGTGGTGTTGGCAGGAGTACTAAAGCTAAAAGTGGATCCTGGTGCAGGTGCAGTTGCTGCAGCTGCCCCAAAGCCACCAAACGTACCTGAAATGTTAAGCAAATCATGCCAAGTGAGATGGAGGAGGTGATACAAAAAGGGTTGAAAGATAGATAAATGGAGTAAATAAAAAAGAATGAAATAGCTGACTGACATATAGGGAGTTTAAAGTCATGACAGAGCTTTGAAGATTAACAGAAAGGAAAACTGATTTTTTTTCCCCATTTAGCATTGCTTATCTTTTTTTACAGAGAAGGTGAAATGTACTAGATTTGCAAAGAAATCAAAAGGTGAGTGCATGATACAACATTTTGTCTCCTCATGCAAATGGAAACTACGATGCATGACACTTTATGAGACAAAGCCACAAGTGAGATGAAAAATCACTGCACCACACAGATGTGAAAATGGATGAAAATGTGTTTACAGACAGACTGTACTGATTCATTAAATCACAAAGGTCATCTACCTGTGCTAGCCAGGCTATTACCAAAATTGAAAACAGTGCCAGTGGTGGTTGCTGTACCAAAGCACCCCACATTAACGCTGACTGCTGCTGGGTTGGCATTTAAACCAAACCCCCCAAAACTAAACCCACCAGCCGTGGTGTTTCCAGCCCCCCAAATCCTGCAGCCAGCGGAGGCAGGCAGCGAGAAAGAGAGAATGACATGAAGGAGTTAAAAGGACAAAAGGTCAGGCCTCGTATGGGACTACATATATTGTAAACACAGTCTTCAGGTATCTTAAAACCATGGCTTTGTTTATAACACCTGTATCTTACCAGTGTTGGTGGAGCCAAAACTGAATCCTGTGGCTGGTGCAGCAGCCTCCATATAGAAAGATGGAAAGGACTAAAAGGGAGTTTAAATTAAATAATGTACTGCATTTCATTTTGAGATACATAAATTGGATGCAATTAAATATTTCCTTATGTATTTTAGACTGGCAATGTGTACCTACCTATGTAAGGTGAACTTATAAATAACCCATGTTTATTTTACATTTTGATATGCTTGTTATTTGCATTGGTTACTGTTTTTATTATATGTTATAATTTGTTTTCAATTATTATTTACTTTCATGTTTGAAGAATACAACTTTATATATTGTAACCCTTTGTAAAGGAAGCTGTTTTACTATATCAAATTACTTTTGGAAATAAAAGACAACTAATTAAAGAATATATTAAAAAGATAACAGTAATAATGTAATACTAATAACATCATTAAATCCAATACAAACTATGTTTATAATTGAGTTCTTAGTGGATATTTGTGTAATGCTGGAGTACATTATGTTGAGGTAATTCTACTATTCTGCCCCTCAGATGTAAATGCCATAGACAAAATATTAGTAATAAATACAAGTCTATCACCACTGCCTACTAATAGCTCAATCATAACAATGTTTTTAAAGTGATACCTCTCCTACAGTGTCAAAGTAAACTGAACATTATTATGCATGTAGAGGCAGCATTGTTGTATTGAATACGCATTAAATGTACCTAATGAAGTGGCAGGTGGGTGTATAAGTTGCTGTTCCTGCAAATCTGGATGAGACAGACCTAGTCGATCTCTTCAATACAACTGCCCAACAACACAGCCGAGTAGCTTTGATTATTGGGGCTCAGATGAGGAGAGGTGCCCTCTTTAGTGACCATCGGATCTATGGACTTACTGCCAAAGCCGAATGAGGCGGCGGCGGCGGCTGCTGAGCCAAAGCCAAATGTTGCAGTTGGTGCTGTAGTTTTGGCACCAAATGAAAACCCGGACGTGCCTTCACATGAACATAGAGAGTGCTATGAGTGTTGAGTGTCGTGACAGTTACATTAGCGTACAGCTACAACGGATTTCAATAGCTAGCAGAGGTGGGAGAAGTGATCAGATATTGTACTTAAGTAAAAGTAGAAATACTAGAGTGTAGGAATACTCTGTTACAAGTAAAAGTTCAGGGTTTCAGTCGAATAGTCCATTTAGCTTAGGAACCTTCCTAACGGAGTGAAATGACCCGGAAGTCCCTCAGTGGCAGCCATGATAAGTGCCGTTCGAATTCTATAGATAGATGATAGGAAAGGAGGTTTCAAACTTCCTTTATAACCTCCTTTAGCTTAGGAACCACTGGAATGTAAATGTGGCAAGCAGCAAATTACCTCGGTTTTAACAGAGATGCTCACAGGGGGTGGAGGCGGCTCCTCGATGGTGCTTTCACTTTCCGACTCTGATCTTGAGCTACACTCTGAGTCGCTGGAGCTGGCCGGCTCTACCCCTCGGGAATGTGCTGCTTCAAGTGATCTACGGCACCCACACACAGAACACAACAATAATAATATCACATTTCCAGCTTCTCAGATCTGGGACTTTTCTTTGTCATTTACAACAGTAATATTCTGGTGGTTTTGTCCATTTATTAAATAAAACAAGCCATTTGAATAATTTACCTTTAGGGAATTACAAGAGCAATATTCATTATTTCCTATAAAATGTATATAAATAGACTTATTGGCTACTTTATTATTAGGTACACCTGTTCAACTGCTCGTTAACGCAAATACCTAATCAGCCAATCACATGGCAGCAACTCAATGCATTTAGACATAATAATAATAATAATAATAACAAATTACATTTATATAGCGCTTTTCCTGGTGCTCAAAGCGCTTATGCTCAAGACGACCTGGTGAAGTTCAAACACAGCATCAGGATAGGGAAGAAAGGTGATTTAAGTGACTTTGAACGTGGCATGGTTGTTGGTGCCAGACAGCCCTGGTCTAAGTGTCTCAAACTGCTGACCTACTGGGATCTCACACACAACCATCTCTAGGGTTTACAGAGAATGGTCGTAAAAGATACAAATATCCAGTGAGCGGCAGCCAGAGGTCAGAGGAGAATGGCCAGAACGGTTCAAGATGATAGAAAGGCAACAGTAACTCAAACCACTAGTTACAACCAAGGTATGCAAAAGACCCTCTCTGAACGCACAACACGTGGAATCTTGAAGCAGATGGGCTACAGCAGCAGAAGACCCCACCGGGGGCCACTCCTGTCAGCTAGGAACAGGAAACTGAGGCTACAATTTGCACGGGCTCACCAACATTGGAAAAATGTTGCCTAGTCTGATGAGACTCGATTTCTGCTGCGACATTTGGACGGTAGGGTCAGAAGCATGGATCTATCAGGTTCAGACTGGTGGTGGTGGTGGTGTAATGGTATGGGGGGTATTTTCTTGGCATACTTTAGGCCCCTTAGTACCAATTGAGCATGGTTTAAACGCCACAGCCCGAGTATAGAGGCTGACCATGTCCAACCCTTTATGACCACACTGTTCGCATCTTCTGATGGCTACTTCCAGCAGGATAACACGCCTTGTCACAAAGCTCAAATGATCTCCAACTGGTTTCTTGAACATGACAACGAGTTACTGAACTCAAATGGCCTCAACAGTCACCAGATCTCAATCCAATAGAGCATCTTTGGGATGTTGTGGAACGAGAGTTTTGCATCACGGATGTGCAGCAGACAAATCTGCCGCAACTGCGTGATGCCAACATGTCAATATGGAACAAAGTCTCTGAGGAATGTTTCCAGCACCTTGTTGAGTCTATGCCACGAAGAATTAAGGCAGTTCTGAAGTCAAAAATGGATCCAACCCGGCACTAACAGGGTGTACCTAATAAAGTGGCCGGTGAGTGTAGATACAACATTTGATTATTGATAAAATATTTAAATTGATGATTGATGCAGATGTATTGATTAGGAAATAATGATTAGTTGCTCCATTAATGAAAAAACTTGTAAGTTGTCTAAATGGCTGAATTAACAAACTGACAAAAGCCTAATTGTCACTTACGATGATGAGCTCTGCTGGATGAGCTGGGATGGATTTGCTGGAGGGGACTTGTAGTTTTCTGGAAGAAAATAGGGGAATTACATGTCATGAAAAACTTTGAAATGTTTATAGTATTCAATTCACACAAATTATTAAAACAGACTCTTTATCTAAAGGCTGTATGTACAGCAGATGTTTCCAATCACTGTATTTTACCCTCGTCCTTTACAGACAAAACACTAACCCTGGTCTGCATGCTTGTTTGGGATGTTCTATGATATAGTACCAACATGTATATTAATGAACATGTGTATCCTGGTTTTGTGCCTTGATTTTTGATTGCCATTCACTTAATGACTCACTTTGTACAGGACATGAAGAGAGACTCGCTGCTTCCTGTGAAGACAATGAAACAAACGCAAGCTTTTACATGGGTCACACATTGGCTTTATTTAAGTTTGCACATGGTTATCTTCATGTACACTTAATTAATAAATGGTGTGATAATCGTTACTGTATATGCAAACAGATCTTTAATTACCAGGACTTAAGGCCTTAAAACATGCTTTTTCTTTTCAATTATCCTCAACTTTTAAAGTCTTACCTTGGCTGGGAACGGAGACTTGGAGGGTTCTACTGAGCTCGGTGAGTGTATGGCTGTCAGGAGAGGAGGCCATGAGTGGGTCATTTCCTGTATGGTGGGATAAAAAGAATGTTATATGCAAGGAGCCTAAAGACGGCCCAACTACAATACAGGCATCACTCTTCATAAAATAAACATTATAGCAAGCAGATGTAGCAATAGGCCATAAGGTGAACCCTGTTATCGTTTCATCCCGCTCCACAGAAGTGGAACTACACAATCGTTAGTTCATAAAAAAGAACGAGTAATGCTTATCCACCAAAAAAAGTCGCTAAAATTCCTGTCAATTCTTCTAGGCACGTAATTATTGGCTGAACTAGTCCCTTCAAAGCGTAATAATATCTTGGTCAAAAGTAGTGCCACGGTCCGTCACGTGATCGTGCTACACCAATTGGGTAGCTGCATATACCGGTATCAACAAACAGATTTGGAAAAAATGGCGACCGCCATGGTTTCATCGAGTAGCGGGGACGAGGAAAACGCACCAGAAAGTCTCAAAAAGTCAAAATTATCAACACACAAACATTGTTACATGCATATTACGTCTGTGAAGCACGAAAAGGTTGATTATTTTACCAATACAAGATGGAATACGTACAGGACAAGCTTACAACGGTGGCATTGATTTTGAAGTTACAAATACAATATTATCATATTACAATAATAATAATATATATATATTATATATATCTATAATAATAATCTATAATAATAATAATAATAATGTAATTCATCAAATTATTATATGATGAATGAGTAAATAAATGAATCAATGGTCATTGGTATAAGTACTGCATTTTATTGATCTAAATTACTTAACGTAACAAGTTAACCTTCTTCTTGGACTCAGCTATGTATGAAATCAAGTCATGTTTATTTTAAGAGTGCATTTAACGTGTACAGGGTAACAATAACAACAGACAGACAGACAAAAAGTCCTCAGTCTAATGGAATAATCCACAAACTCAGCAAATGAACCTAGCGATGCGAACATGGTAGTCCAGGAATGTTGTTGTAGCTGGAGTTGGCTGATAAACGCTGCTAGCCAATGTTGATTCGATGGTCAACTCTGTTCCCAGATAGTAAAACCTCTCACAAATACCACGTATATAACGCAAATACCTCGGACTTAGTGATGTATTAAGACATATGACAAAACATGACATAAAACAAGCATACAGCACTGTTTAGAATCCATTTGGTCTGGTTTAGTGTAACCATGGAGGCGGCCATCTTTCACTTCTGTTGACAATATGCAGCTACCCAATTGGTAGATTGGCATGATCACGTGACAAACCGTGGCACTATTTTTGACCAAGATATTATTACGCTTTGAAGGGACTAGTTCAGCCAATAATTACGTGCCTAGAAGAATTGACAGGAATTTTAGCGACGAACTTTTCTTTGGTGGATAAGCATGACTCGTTCTTTTTTATGAACTAAAGATTATGTAGTTCCACTTCTGTGGAGCGGGATTTCTTTTCTAAAGGACTTTTCGAGGTTCACCTTGCGGCCTTCAACTGTAAATGAGAGTTGTAAAAGCTGGACTTACCCTCAAGATTTCTTCGACACACTGAACCTCATCTGTCCTTGTCTGTAGAAAAGAAATGAACAAATGATCTGTCCAAAACAGTGAATAAACCTTTATGCAATTATAACATGACAGACATAGAAAATGGTAAAGGGCTAATATTTCCAAGAGCAAACCTTTTAATGGTATTTCACAGGTCAAACAGGTAAAATAACATAGCTAAATACAACATAAGACCCCCCTTCAGATTGTTTACTTCTTGCATCGGTTTGTTGCAACTATATCTCACCAGAATAGAGAGATATCGAGCCCTACTTGGGAATTGGCCAGCTGTTCTTTATCTTAAAACCTGCATTATGTAAAATCATCTCTAAGTATACTGTAATTTGGGGGGAATTGAAAACACTGAAAACATTAAATACAACCATACCACATTAAAATCAAAGTAAAGAGATATATGCATTTCAGTGTTGTCCAGCAGAGAGCGGTAGAGACCTGCAGAAGCACTCTCATTGTTTCCATGAAGAGATGCAGTGGAGAGTTTGGTTTTAAAATGAAACCATTTAACATTACAAAATAACAGCAATATCAAGGTTCCACCGTTTTGGGGCAACAATTGCATTTTGATGTTGAATTAACATTCACATGAAAACCATATTTATTATAAAATACAAAAATATATGTAATTGTTATTTTACCATTGGTTGTTCCATTTAAGAAAGCTAGTTTAAGGGTTTATTTTTAAACTAGCTTTAGTTTCACACCAGAAGGTTTACACTTGTGCCGGAATTAAAAAAATGGCGTGCACTGGGACGTTGGTTCTCTGACCCATTAAACCTGTGTATTGACTTGTTTAAGGAAAAACACATTGTTGAAAGCACATTACTTCTTCTATTTCTCAATAGTTTGGAGGAAAGAGACATTTGTGATTGTACTTTATATCCAAAGTGTTTTATACATGGCAAACTGCAGATGTGGATCCTAATTTAGGAGCAAAGGTTTAGTAGGAATATAAATAATTGCCTGTAAAACCTGCAATGGAATAGTCAGAGTAGCGAGAATAGAAGCATATTTAGCACTGCTGTGCTGCTGCAGGACTGTAGGGGGAGCTGTGTCGTGCTGCAGGTGCAACGCCTGTGTGTGTCTATTTATGAATGGAGGCGAAGTCCCTCCCTTTCCGGGGGGAGCTCCATGGGACCTTATTTCGGAAAAAGTATGTATTGAAGTCAATGGAGAGAGAAAGATTATCTTTCGATCCCGTTTGAATTGTGCCACGAATTACACATATGATGTTTGTCAATTTAAAAGATAATTTTGCAAGTCAACATTTTTTAAATGTGTCCTAAAACTGTGAAAGTCAACATTTTTTAAATGTGTCCTAAAACTGTGAAGTAACACTTTTTTTTGTGAGAAACCGCTCAATGAACTACATCTCCCATCTCGCACCACACAACAAGACGGCCGTCACGTTGGCACATTTCACTTCTTTCTTACAGAATGAGGCAAAAAGTATTAAAAGAGGTGAAAATCACTACAAGTCTGGGCATGTTGAGAGCTGTACATACACACAAGGGGAGTTAGTCGGTTCCGTAAGAGCCAGCATGCGGGAACGGGATTCTGGGATTTGTAGTCTTTCTAGTTGCGTATTTTTCATAGTCTTATATTTCAACAGTTTTACGACAAACTGTGACTTTTTTGACATGGAAATTATTTTTTAAATTGACAAACATCATATGTGTAATTCGTGGCACAATTCAAACGGGATCGAAAGATAATCTTTCTCTCCCAATTGACTTCAATACATGAGTTTTCCGAAATAAGGTCCCATGGGTCGGAAGTAGATGGGCGGGACTTCGCCTCTCTATAGAATTGACCTGGAGTTCAGCCAAATTCTCTCAAACAAATCAAGCCTTAGAACTTAAAGTGCCTTAAAATTTAAATCAAGAATATTTTTTTTTTTAGCTGATTAGCCCTAACCCTATGTTCCAGATGACACAATCCTCTCATTCCACAGTACATTCATAGCCCAGACAACAGTGCTGGGAAATAATAAGTAGGACTTCCCTTGTTCTATCACTCCCCACATTCACCAATCACCGGACCACCAAAACCAGAGATTCAGTGTCACTGACATCTCAAGACAATTTTATATTCCAAATATACCAAGTATCTACTCCATGCTGTCTTTACTATCCTACTACTATACTGTAACACTCCTTGTTGTTAACCACCAACTATGTGCAATATATATATATATATATATATATATATATATATATATATATATACACACACCGTTAATAACTGCAATATATACCTGGCTGCTAAATCCTCAGAACAGGATGTGTTTTTTGTAAATTGTGTAACCTTTTTATTATATATATTTTTTATCTTTAATTTTTTTTTTGTGTGCATGCTACTTAACATTAAGGTAACATTAAGCTGTCTTTGGCTCTTTTCTGCTGTAACAATGTACATTTCCCCTCTGGGGGACTAATAAAGGTATTTTGATTCGGACTTTTGTATTTAACAGGAACAACCAGGTTCTATAGAAAAACCAAATTCTTTGGATTGAAGGAATCCAGTCCTGCAAACTTATGATTTATTTTATTTAATAGCTGTCTTTAAAGAAAACACACTATTTCCTGAAGCACATGGCCGTAGTTGGTTTAAATTACAGTCCGACAGACTGAGGCCAGTTGATGGACGCTGCTATCCTGGAAATGGTGTCAGGATTTTAGCTATGACACTATTACTAATGATATTAAAGTAATACTTTAACATTTTTGTAAACACACTTATTCTATTTCTTTCCGAGCGTTAGATAAAATCAATACCACCTGAAAGCTTTTCACCAATTTAAAGCTGGTTAGAATTAAGACTAAAAACAGGGGGAATACAGCTAGTTTGGTTTTGTCTAGGTAACAGAATCCATCTACCAGCACCTCAAAAGCAGAACTATTTTTAGACAAGCTAGCCGTTACCTCCTGTTTTCTTTCTTCATGCTAAAATTAGCTAACCAGCCATTATACAGCCTAGATAATATCATGTCTAATAACAGTACAGCGAACTAAGAGAATATATTTACCTCCAAAAATGGTGGCAGCAACTTGGTTTTGCCTAGCGCAGATTTGTTGATTATCTCCGGTAGAGGTACATATGGCTCTGGTGAAAGCTTCAGCCTAGGTGACTCGCTGACCACATGGTCCTGACCATCCATGGGCCGCACATACGCTGTGGGCTTCTGGGTCATGACTACGCTGGGCGGCTTCGACGACAGGAGTGAAGGGAAGGTCTGGGAAGGTAGTGTGTTACCTTTGTTTGCTTGAGGCAGAGATGAATCTTTGGGGGACTGTTTCAGGTCAAATGTGGAAACATCCATGGCGCTGTCAGACTCAGGGTGGTGATCTGTGGACCCTTGAACTTGAAGTCTATCAAAGGTGTCCCTAGTGTCCGTGTCATAGTTATCATGGTCAATGGAATGTGGGAAGGGTGGCCGCTTGGCATCAGGAGACTGATAAGACATTTCCTGGGGAAGGCTGACACACTCCCTGAGACCTGAGTGGGCTTCACTCTTCTTTTGTTGCTGTGCTGAGAGGCCGAGCTGACTGTGGTTTAAGGACCTATTCGAGAAAGTGGATGAATGTCCATGCTGGTTAGGAGGAGAAGGGGCAGTGGACGTCCTCATGGGCTGAGAGGAGTAACCGTTACAAGAGGGGGCTTTCTGACTTGGGATGGACGTGTGGACTTGGTTAAGGAATGGAGGCTTGGCTGGTTTATCTGTGTTTGGCTGAGCCTGATCTGACTGTGAGAAGGTTACATAAGTAGGAATGGGTAAAGGCTCAATGGCTAAGGGACAGGGATTATTCACATCTTCAAAACTACCCAGCATCCTCTGGATTCGATTGGAAAGAGTATCCCCTTTGTTTGTCTGCGTAAAGAAAGGGTAAACACTTTGTTAGAAGCAATATATCGGTAGCAATATGTAGGATTTGGTTAATTAAGACAAACAGTAGGTGGAACAAACTTGCTTTTGTTTCAATATCATTTGCCATTTATTTATTTGTTCCCAATAATGTGTACGTTACATTTAAGAATATCTCTCTTGACACTCCTCACACATTGGACTTAAAATGCAAAGGTTATGTTGTTGTCTTTGACAGTTTCTTTTTGTAAAGTAAACATAATTGTATAGCACACTACAAAAAACACTAGAAGGTGAAAGGTTTTATGTAACTTTTAAGCCAACAATACAGCACACATATAGAAATGATCAATTTCCCTCTGATAATGAATAGAGTCATTTTGATCCTGAAACCGTTGCTTTTGAAAGAAGTCAAAAATAATAATCTTTGTATCAATAATATGAACAGTTGAAGCCCAGTGTGATCATTAGAGCAGGTAACTCCTGTAGAGTGGGTCTTTACCTTGTATGGTTCCCTAAAGAGTGGCACATTCTCAGGGTTGGGTTCTTTGGGTGGGCTTGTTTCTTGGTTCCTCTGTTCCCGCGCTCAGAGGCGAAGACGGTTCCTTTCTTCATTGTATATGCTGTAGAACAGGGGTCGGCAACAGGCGGATCGCGGTCCGGATCTGGACCCAGATGCCGACCTATACGGACCCGGAGCTATAATCAATACATTAATAGGGGATTTTTCGGTGGCTCCCGCTTTTTTAACACTGATTTGGGTGACTTGTGTAATTCGTGGAGAACCGAAGAGTCGGACTGACGGACAACTTCTCACTTCAAAAAAGAAGAAGAAATCTAGACCGCAAAAATAATTAAACAAGCGAGTACCTGTTTGTCCTGGCCAAGGACAGGTTCCTTGAACACAACACGAGCGGAACGTGTCTTCACGTGGTATATGTCTCGTCTGAAAGGAGTGCTGACAGAGAGCACCGGAACGCCGCTCCAGCCCTTCAAATATTGCAGTACCCATAAGGAGCCGTACACATGCCGCAGTGTTTGCGTGGCTGTGTCTTTAGTTGTAAGCACAGTGGCGATCTGTTGTTATTATCATCTGGTTAGCTAGCTATGCTAATGAATTTAAAGAGCTTTTCTACAACCAGGTGGAAGAGAGCTCTCTCCTGAGAGGCTCACATAACCTCAGCTCAGTGAGGAGGTTAACGCACACCTTGATATGATCATTATAGTTATTAATGAGACATTAGAGACTAAATCAAAAACAGGTATAAAATACTATATGACAGTCACAAAAAAGTTGTTAAAAATAACAAGAATAGAGTTTAAAAGGGGAGTGATTTGTAAAATATCCAAAAAGAAAAATATGCTTACAGTTCTGTTTCATATGGGTGTTGAAAGATGGATCCATAGATCTCTTCATGTTGCTCTCAAAGTGCACCAGATTGATGCTTTTAACTTCAATATTTAAAAAAAATCTTCCCGGGGGAGCATGCCCCCGGACCCCCCTAGAGGAGGTTAGGTCCCCCCCCCCCCACTTAAATCATGTTCCCATGGATAGGAAACTAAATACATTTGCACACATCTTGTGTCCATATCTTTCTGTGTTGGTGGTCATGCCACACCGTGCACATGCATGCATGCGTGAGTCATGGTGAGATATCTGGATCAAGAGGTTGCTTTTTCTTTGCACAGCATGAAAGAAAGGCCAAATGAATGGGCTGTGATTTTAGTTTTTTTAAGCAGAGGTTGAGTTCAATCATTTGTACGACCCTCGGAGGATGTTGTAAAAATTGAAAGGAAAAAGGTTCCCCACCCCTGCTGTAAATAATAATAAAAACCCTTGATTTATAACTTAACATCTCTGTCTCCTATTGATCTGAGTATATTATAAAGAACAGTTAATTGAAGCATTATAGCGCAGGCCTTTGTCAGATGGTATATTACACTGTTTTTTCCTGCTTCGAATAGTTCTCTCTTTTTTCACCATACCTGTGTTTGCATCACTGTAACCAATGAGCACCTGCATGTGTATGAGAATAGCCCTGACACCATTTCAGCCCAGATTTACAAACTCCTGGCAGGACAAGCTCCAGCTCAATTCTCACACTGAATTTTAAAAAAAGTGAGTGAAGGACTGCAATATAAGAGGGAAAGAAAGAGAAACTTTAAAACTGTTCAATTGTTATGATGTAAAGACTGATATTGTTCTATAATCGGCTGAAACTGTTAAGTCATGCTTCCCGAGAGGAACATTACACATATCCACAGTATTTAAGTAATGTTAATTGACAATAAATGTTGTTGTTTTTGAATTGTACTTTCTTTATTTGATTGGCAGTCAGTTGTTGATTACATGCAGACGTTGATAAAGCTACAGGTCACTTCAATATATATCACACTAATTCATGAAGCAAGTTAGACATTTTGATGTTCCGGACCTTTGCATGGGGAGATTTTCTCTAACTGGACCTCGTTGAATTTTAGTTGAAGACCCCTGCTGTAGAACATTAAAAAGAAAGAAAGATATTAAGTGCATTATTCTAACACTAAATGTGATGACCCAGTTCAAAGATGCAGTACGTGCCTTGCTGACCAAACATGTAATTGGTGACCACTAATAATTCCAACCAATCTTTTAACACAGCCATATTTGTTTAGGCTATCTTTGATTTGATCAAATAAACCACAAAGCATTGACTCACTCCGGCTGATTCATATGATAAAAAAAGGTTTTGGTTAACGACACGAGAACATTTTAAAGAATAACAATTGATGACATCTAATCACAGCCTTATGTACCCAAGTGGCAGAGAAGCAGGGTCTCATGGGAGAACTCAGTGCCCATCATATCACCAGAAACGTCAGTGCAATTAGACTTACAGACACCATGAGGAGTCCCCACACATCTGTTCCTTTTAGTCCCTAAAGATGACATGCAGCCCATGCAGACATCACATGGATATGACTAGTCCAAATATAAGGCCATGGGTAAAAATAAGTTGTTCATTATAGTAAATTATATTCAGAAACAACAAGCGGCCTCATAGGGTCAGGACCTGTTTAACACATACAAAAATACTGAAGTAAATTGAATGTACATTTGGAACTAGTAATTTTCCCAAAACAGTGTTTATCATCCTCACTCACAGCAACCCCAATGGGATGCTTCCATGGCAACAAGTGGAGCAACACAGATTTGGGTTTAAGCCAAACAGATGAGCACTTACTCATTAATGGAGCAGAGAGACTGGCCAAAATACAAGAACAGCACCAACTGCCCGGTCACAGTACCACCCAGGGATAAACCAACACAAGGTGTGTGAGGATCTGCAGTTAGTGCTGGGGGGAAACAATTATTTTGAAAACGATTAATCGGGCGATTATTTGATCGATTAGTCGACTAATCTAACGATTATTTTTCTGTTGTTCAATTCATAAAAAATGTAATGTAAAAAAAACGAAATGTAAAAAAAATGTTTTTCACGATACTGTGTCTCAGGGGATCTTAATATTTAAGAAGCTATTAATGTGTTATACCAGATTAACAGAAATAATCTCAGCTAACTGACGATACAAACCATGTTTACCAACACAAAACACAAGTCTCATAAGAAGCATCTAAATGACCCCTGAGCGAAAAATGCTAACGGACATTGGCACAGAACTCAAGATAAAAGTACCCTTATTACGTATCGTAGCTGCACATACAATATCCGATTAAAGCTGAGACTCCACAGATTATGTAGGTATATAGTATCATCACTGAGTGATCCGGACTCGCGACAGGGGAAGCAAATACAGTCATCACAACACGTACCTTTACAGAGCTTCTAGGGAGATCGTCTCACCACCGTAGCTGTCAATCTGATCAAAAGACATGTTCAATGGCATTAAAATGAGAAAAAATGCGGCTTAATCGGTTAATCCATAGGTTTTTAACGTCTATGTATACAAAAATGATTGAATTTATAATCCATAATTCCATTTGTATGTAAAAATCGGAGAGCAAATGCTAGCTGCTAATGGTAGCCACCACAGCTAGCTGCTGCTTCCGGTCTAGGATATGCAGCAGTCTCAGTGAGATATAAATATATAAATATCTTTGCGTTTTGGACTAACTTTAAAATATTCCCATGCTTTTGAAGACCTAGGGCGAGATGTTTTCGTTTGGGGGCTTCGTGCGCAATCGTTTGAGGAGGAGGTGGTAGCCGTTTCAGTCTCCATTGTGTTTGAAGTGCGATTGCGAACTGCTTGTTGCTTTGGGTGAACCACGTGTGTGTAGCGACGCGTCGACGCGGAAATATGTCGTCAACGATATTTTGAAGTCGACGCGTCGCTACAGCACTATCTGCAGTACTTCCTCCTTCTTTTTCCCCTGTCTGTGTTTGTTTTGTCTGTTTGTCTATGGGCCCATTCCAATAGTCCATTTAGCTTAGGAACCTTCCTAACCAAGTGAAATGACCCGGAAGTACGTCACTGGCAGCCATGATAAGTGCCGTTCCAATTCTCCAAATGAAAGGAAAGGAGGTTTCAAACTTCCTTTATAACCTCCTTTAGCTTAGGAACCACTGGACCTCCCTAACCGAAAGGAGAGGAGAAAATGCTGCCCCACAATGCATTGCAGCCGCAGCATTTGCCGTCACTCAACAGTCGGCCGTTCACGGACACAAACGATAATGGGAGAAATTATATCATGAAAGTTACGGTGCTTATTACGCATTTTAAAACGTATGTGGTAAGTTGCCAAAGTACTTTGTTTTGAACGTTCATCAGTATTATAATCAAAAAGTCAAATATGAACGTTAGTTTTTACTGAAATGATCAAATAAAGTCAACATTTCACTGAGCTGTGTGGGGTTTGTTCAACTTTTAAAAGATGTTTGAATGGTGATATACACAGCGATAGATGTTAAGGACTAACGTTTATAATAAATACATTTGTATTGATTTTAAGATATTTTCATAGTTCATACAATCATACGTATTGGGATCATTTGTATTAATGTGGACCGGAGGGAGAGGGTGACGAGCATAAGTTTCACTTTCCTTTTTTATTTCAATTCCAACTTTGGTCATGAAGAATATGTTTCTCTGTTGTTCATAAAGCAACAGCATCAGAGCACGGTGCAGAGTCTCTAGATGAGTTTACAGTAGTCCCTCGTTCTTATTAAACATCCATGTTGTAGTCCGCTGTATAGAAAACTAGGTTGCGTTCCGATAATCCAAAAATCAGCTCCTAAATTCTAACCCTATCTCTTATTCCTTGACCTCTGGGTGAAACGTCACGGGGTTAAGGGATAGTGGATAGGAGAATTCAAAAGGATTTAGGAGAAGAGACTGCGGTGCTTAGAGAATCCGAATGCACTTTCACTATCCGACGTATTTATGATGCGCCAGCGGACGTCATGAATGTGCGTCTGCTGCTGTGGGGAAACTATGGAAACTACAGTTTTCTATACAGCGGACTACAACATGGATGTTTAATAAGAACGAGGGACTACTGTAAACTCATCTAGAGACTCTGCACCGTGCTCTGATACTGTTGCTTTATGAACAACAGAGAAACATATTCTTCATGACCAAAGTTGGAATTGAAATAAAAAAGGAAAGTGAAACTTATGCTCGTCACCCTCTCCCTCCGGTCCACATTAATACAAATGATCCCAATACGTATGATTGTATGAACTATTAAAAGATCTTAAAAATAAATACAAATGTATTTATTATAAAC